AGAGAGAGAGAGAGATGAAGATGGTAGAGTAAAAGAAGGAAGAAGAGAGAGAAGGGGGAAGGGAGTCCCGGGACCAGGGAAAGGTTGAATAAGAAAGAAAGAAAGAAAGAAAGAAAGAAAGAAAGAAAGAAAGAGAGAGAGAGAGAGAGAGAGGGAGGGAGGGAGGAAGGAAGGAAGGAAAAAAGAAAGAAAGGAAGGAAGAAAGAAAGAAAGAAAGAAAGAAAAGAAAAGAAAAGAAAAGATAAGAAAAGAAAAGAAAAGAGGACCCCAAAGCCTGGGGGAATTCTTTTTTTGTTGTTGTTGTTTTGTTTTTTTGTTTTTTTTCATTCATTTATTTAGCTCATAAATAGGAATTCTTGAAATAACAAAATTTAGGAAGTTGAACAGTAACTACATAGTCAAGCTTCACCAATAGAATACAAGACATGGAAGAGAGAATCTCAGTGAAGATATGATAGAAGAAATTAAGAAAAAATTAAAGACTTTCTAGAATTAAATGAAAATGGAGACAAAACATACTTAAACTTATGGGACAGGATAAATGTGGTTCTAAGAGGCAAGTTCATAGCTCTAATGGCCTACATGAAAAACAAAACAAAACAACTGGAGAGTTATCATCCTATCGACTTAACAGCATATCTGAAAGGTCTAGGACAAAAATAAGAAATCACACCTAGAAGGAGTAGATGGAAAGAAATAATCAAACTCAGGGCTGAAATCAATAAAATAGAAACAAAAAGAACTATTGTTTATGTTGGGTCATAGGTACCACAGTAGAAAGAGAAGCTCACCAAGATGCTAAGCCTTCATTTTCTGAAGGAGCAGAGGGGGACAGTCTTCTTGGAAAAGACTGACTCCCAGCTAGCTCACTCCAGTTACTTTATTCAAACATATACAAGCTTAACTACCAAAGTTGTCTTGCTCTTGCTGCCCATGAGAAAAGACAACTCACAAAATTCTGAGTTCCTTTTGATTATGGCAGGCCATAATGAAAAGTAAGAGCTGCAGGTCTACCAGGAGTGTCTTAGAACCAAGGTGGTAGCTGCAAGCTCTCACACAGCACCAAGTGCAGACTCTCCACAGAAACCACATTTCTTCAAGGTTTGAACAGTCTCAAAACAATTTCTCAGCTTCTACTGATTAACATATACATAAAAAGGCTTTCCTGAAATATTTCTCTCAATGCCAGACACAAAGGCTTTACTATCTCTTTCACTTACAGCCAGACATAAAGGCTTTGCTTACTACAGAGAACAATACAAGGAATCAATGAAACAAAGAGTTGGTTCTTTGAGAAAACCAGTAAGATTGACAAACCCTATCTAAATTAACTAAAAGGTGGAGAGAGAATATACAAATTAACAAAATCAAAAATGAAAATGGGACACAACAATAGACATGGGAAAATCCAGAGAATCATCGAGACATGTTTTAATAAACTTACTCCAAAAAAACTGGAAAAATATAAAAGAAATAGATAATTTCCTAGACACATACCACTTACCAAAGTTAAGTCAAGATCAGATAAGCAACTTAAACAGAACAGTCATTACAATCTTCCAACCAAAAGACAAAACAACAACAACAAAAAGCCCAGGTTCTAGCCCGGAATGCTTCAAGATTTTCAAAGAATAGCTAAGGCCAATACCCCTCAAATTATTCTACAAAATAGAAATGGAGGGAACACCATCAAATTCATTTTATGAAGTCACAGTTACACAAGTCACATAAAGACCCAACAAAGAAAGAGAATTACAGACCAGTTTCCCTTATGAACATAAAAGCAAAAATACTCAATAAAATACTTGCAAACTGAATCTAAGAACACATCAAAAACATCATCCACCATGATCAAGTAGGCTTCATTCCAGAGATGCGGGGATGGCTTAATATATAAAACCAATAAATATAATCATCATATCAAAAATGAAAGTAAAAGCCACATGATCATTTCATTAGATGTGGAAAAGACCTTTGACAAAATCCAATATTCCTTCATGATAAAAGTCCTGGAGAGATTAGGCATACAAGGGACATGCCTAAACATAATAAAGGCATCTTACAATAAACAACTTAAATGGAGAGAAACTGAAATCAATTCAACCCCTATAAGGAACAAGACAAGTTTGTCTACTCTCTCCATACCTATTCTACATAGTACTTGTAGTCTTAGCTAGAGCAATGAGACAACTGAAGGAGATCAAGGGAATACAAATTGGAAAGGAAGAAGTCAAAGTATCTTTATTTGCAGATGATATGACAGTATACATAAGCGACCCTAAACATTTGACTAGGGAACTTCTACAGCTGATGAAGCCCTTCATCGAAGTGGCTGAATACAAAATTAACTCACAAAAATTAGTAGGGAGAGACAACTAGAATTTGGGGGCAGCACAGGAACTTAATGCAGTGGAAACTTCTTCTTCTTCTTCTTCTTCTTCTTCTTCTTCTTCTTCTTCTTCTTCTTCTTCTTCTTCTTCTTCTTTTTGGTTTCTTCGAGACAGGGTTTCTCTGTGTGGCTTTGGAGCCTATCCTGGCACTTGCTCTGGAGATAAGGCTGGCCTCGAACCCACAGAGATTCACCTGCCACTGCCTCCTGAGTGCTGGGATTAAAGGCATGCACCACCAACGCCCGGCGAAACTTCTTTAAATATATGAAGGCAATCATAATGAAGCCTGCAAATAATGGGGGAGACAGAGTTCTAACTGGCCAACTCTTGTCACCAAAGGAAGCTTCCAGTACTAGGACTGGGTTACATCCAATTGAGTTGTTAGTCAAAGGGGTCCCATGGAAATCCCCAAACAACCCAGGCTCTTGCCAAGACAATAGGTTGCTCTCCACAAACTGATGGCAAGGCCCCATTCATTGCTAAAGACAATACCCACAGAACTTATGAACATGAAGAAGATGAACTGCTGCCTATATAGAACTTTCACTCCCGTGTTCTAGTGTCTTTAGTACAGGAAGGTACTCTGCAGCCTATCAAAAGAGAAAGATAAACACCAACCCAGCCACAAACTCTTTGACTTACAATGCTTTCCTGCCTGCAAAATATGCTAGGGCTATGGCAGCACAAAGCTTGCAGGAGTAACCAATCAACATCTGATTTGACTTAAAGCCCACTCCACAAGATGGATCCTATACCTGACATTGCCTGAGTGATCAAGAACCAGAGAGTAGATAGCCTAGAGACCTAGAGTAACACCAAATGCTACTGGCTTAAAAAAAAAAAAAAAACAGTGATAAATGACTCCTAGCGATACCCTCCTATACTCATAGATCAGTGCCTTATTCGGTCATCATCAGAGAAGCTTCCTCCTGCAGGAGATAGAAACAGATGCAGAGACCTACAGCCAGACAGTGTGCAGAGAGGGAGAGATCTTGGAACAAATAGCTGTAAATGGGGTGTCTCCATCAAATTTCTCCCCTCAGATCTCAGGGAACCCTGTGGAAAAGGAGGTGAAAAGAGTGTCAGAGCCAGGGGGGATGGAGGACATCAGGAGAACAAGGCCCTCTGCATCAACTGAGTAAGACTCATAAGAACTCACAGAGATTGGGCGAGCACAGGGCCTACATGGGTCTACACCAGGTCCTCTGCATATATACTATAGATTTCAGTTTAGTGTTTTTATAGAACTCCTGAGTGTGTAAATGAGTGGGTCTCTGATTCTTGTGCCTTCTCTTGGGTTCTTTTCCTTCTGTTAGTTTGGCTTGTCCAACTTTTGGTGATTTTTTTTTATCTTATTATATTTTATTTTGTTGTGTTATTATATTTTATTTTGTTGTGTTGTTATCTCTTGGAAGCCTGTTCTTTTCTAATGAGAAACAGAGTGTGTGGATCCAGAGGAGAGGGGAGGTGGGGAGGAGCTGAGAGGAACAGAAGGGGCAGTAACTGTAATTGGGATATGTTGTATGAAAAAAGACTCTATTTCCAAAATAAAAGGAAAAAAAAAAGAATCCTGTTCTAATGACAAAGATGAATTCTCTTTTTTTTCTAAACCTCATGCCAAGGACCTAATAGAGACTCTGTCTGGATTCTGTCCCTCAATGTTACATTCTGTCACCTATGTATGAGATTCTATTTCTCCATTACATAAACTTTATGACATTTGTTTGCCTCTCTCACTTCTGATGGACATCTGAACTTTTCATGATTTTTATAGGGCTTGAGATCAAGCATATTAGGGTCTCAGAAGTACCAGGCAAACATTCTACCACTGAGCTTCACCTGCAATCCTTCCATGAACACACTTGTGTAACTCTGATGAAAAGCTGTATCTGGTATTTTTAGGTCTGCAGTTGTGAGCAGAATTGTTGCACTTGGTAGCTGTATCATATTTATTTATCTTTCATTGACAAGCACTGGTAGATTACCTTTCTGTATGTTTGCTGATCACTCACATATATCATTTTGTATTGGATTGTTTGCAACTTTTATTGATTTGTGAAATATCTTAGTTTTATGCCTTGTAATTGATAGTTTTTCTGGGTATAGTAGTCTGGGCTGGCATCTGTGTGAGCTTCAGAGCTTGCAGAACATCCAATATGAGTCCAATCTGAGATACACGTAGCTACAACACAGTCATACTTCAAAATAGAATCAATTTAAGAATTAACATATGTTCTTTAAAACACACAAGTAAAATTCAAGTATGTAATAAAGTCAGAATGCTCCTCCCTACAGCTGAGGCGACACAATCAACAAACAATAAACACTGTACATTTTCTCCTTGTCACATACCTCATGAATATGACCCCACTTTACAGAGAAGGAAGAGAGGGCACAATGAGAAAAAGTGACTTTTGTGGGAGTAACACTGAATTTGGACTTGAACCTAGGAATCCTGTGACCTTCATTCCTTCCAAGACCGCTCCTCCACCCCTTCAAAACCTTTGATTTAGAGGGCCGATGATACTAGAATCTGCCCCTAACATATGCTGTTCTCAGCCGTGCCTTTCCAGCACTCCAGCCAGTTCTGGGCACACAGAGCAAGGAGTGTCAGCACTTGTGGATCTTGATCTCTGTGTAATCAGACTTGATGGTCTCTGTGTTCTGAGACTGCCGGGGCTTCAGGCCTTGGAAGGAAAGGGAGGCATAGTGGAGCTCAGGCTCATCCTCCAGGGTGTGTGGGACTGTGGCAAGTGTTGATTGTTCTTTCTGGTTCTGTGACCCTGATGCATTCAGGTGACCCTGGAACCCAATTAAAGAAGGGCATCAGTCAAGACTTTGCAGATGGCAGTGACAATCACCAACGGCACTTGGGGTTTTGCCAGGCATTTGTTCATTTATCTACTTCATACACATTTCCTAAGTGTTCCCTCCACGCTTTCACTCATTCACCTTAGTTTCAATGATGTTTGAACATGAATATGAATGTCTAAATCCCTCCTCTACATCCCCCCAGTATGTGCCTATGTACATATGCACCTGTATACACAGTACGAATGGTCAAACCCAGGACCTTGCACATAGCAGGGAAGGAAGGGCTCTAACACCCCCAGCTAATTTTAATCTTATAAAGAGTCTCACTGAGTCCTCACATCTCTTCTCCTTCCCCATTTCATAAATATGAACATAGTCTGGTCCAGGCTAAGTAACTCACAAAAGACAGCACCAGACTGTCAAAAACGAATGAAGGTAAAGCCAGATGTGTCTACCAGCAATCGAGTCACTTGGGAGGGAGGCTTTGGAAGGAAGATTGTGTCTCGGGCAAGCTCTGGCTCCACAGTGAGTTCCAGAACAGTCTGGGCTACACGGAGACCCCCAAACCCAAATAAGTAAATTTTCAAAAATAAAATAAAAACTTTATCTAATTGTAATCTGATGGGCAGAAGCAAGGAGTTACAGCAAATTCTCAAGAAGCAGGGGTTAGACCCACCCTGCCCTGGTGGGGATTGCAGTATGCGGGGAGAGCAGGGACATGACTGAGACTGCAAGAAGCGGGTGACGGTCTGCCTGTCAGAGGCAGGGGTATTTTAACTGATACATGGAAGATGATTAAGGCTCCATTCAAGGAGCAATCAGGGATCACCTGCCAGGGAGTTTGGACTCATTCCGTAGCTCTTGATGTACTAGCCACATGCAGTACATGTAATGTGATTGGGTGACCAGGGAGATGGGTGCTGTGAGAACAAAGTGCATGCTGGGACTGAAAGGCTGAGCACCCCAAATGAAGAACGTGAGCGTATCATTCACAATTTTTATATTTGGTTGCTGATAAGAAATTAGAATCACAGTCACCTGGATGTGTTGTAGGGAATGAAATGTGGTATATGTTTCGGCTTTTTTGTGACTAGTGACGATTTTATTTTATAAATGTGGCCAACAGTCTATTTCTTTTCTTCTTTATCTTGAGATTAAGTCTCTAGGTAGCTTGGACTCTCCTAGAATTCTCCGTGCAGCCCGAACTGGCCTCGAGCTTTAAATTGTCTTTCCTCATGCTCCTCAAGTGTCCACAATATAGGCACGGGCCACCAAGCCCAGCCTCCTGGTGCCTGTCTCTCTGTGTGTTTCTGACTCTTTTCCTCCCCATCCCCTTTTGGGAATGGAACCCAAGGTTTCCCATTTGCTAGAAAACTACAACAGAGCTGTATTCCCAAGTGCCTCCCTGTTAAATTCTGGGCAAGCACTCCGTCTCTGAGCCACACCAGTCCCTGGTGCTTCTAGCCAAGTGCCCTAACCCCGTAGTCAGCCCATCTCTGGTAGATTCTACACAGGCATTCCACTTGGAAGCCATATTCCCTGCTTCTCACTGATGGACACAGGCAAGTTCTCTACTGCAGAGCCACATTCCTAGCTGTCTTTTCACTTTTGGTTTTATTCAGATCTCACAAGTTACCCTAGTAGGCCTTCATCTCACTAGGTAGTTCATGCTGGCTTTGCACTCTGCATCCTCCTGCCTCAGCTTCCGGAATGCTGAGATTATACGTCTGCCCCACCATGCCCAGCCTGACATTCTATTTCTGTCTAACAACACATTTGTACTGTAAGGACCATGTATAACTCAACAGCTGTGTTTGGAATTCCTTTATGAAAGTTTACTCTGGGCTGATGAAGCCAGTGCTGAGGCCCAGGGTAAGGCTGTGAAGACTTGACAGGAAGTAGCAACATGGGACCAGCTTTGCTAACAAGAACAATCAATGGTCAGGTCTAGGTAAATACCCGAAGCAGGAGATAGAGGTTGGACAAATGCCAGGTCCCCAGCCTGGGGTTGCAGAAGGAAAGATGAATATTGGAGAGACATTTGGGGAAACAGAAGCTCAGTTTTGATACGCTGGGTGTAAGGACTCAGGCATTGTGCTGGCCCGCCCCTGTCACCTGGCAGAATGCACTCAGGCAGTACCCTGGTCAGCCTGATTCTTAAAAACAAAAACAAAAAAAACAAAAACAAACAACAACAACAAAAAACCTCCTCTCTTTTTGCTCTCTTCTCTTTGCCTGCTCCTCTCTTTCTGTTCTCTTTCCCGCTGTTCCCTTGGGGCAGACAGGACTTTCCCTGTCTCTCTCTTCTGCCCTCTCTCTGTCTCTGTCTCAGTCTCTGTCTTTATCTCTTTTCTGTTTCCTCCCTCCTTTCTAATAAAACTTCTCACTTAAGCTCTGTCTGCCTGGTGTGTTTGTCTCCTTCCTCTGTCACCCTTGCTTGCCAAAGTCCCCCAGTTGCCAAAGTTTCCCCTTGCACTTTTTCCTAACACTGAGTACCTAGGTGGGGTATCTCACCGAAATGCTGGACGAAATCATGCTGGAACCGTTTATGGTGGAGACAGGGCACACAGCATGACGGTTGCCTGCCATGCTCACTACTTTCAGGGTTGATTGCTTCCTGAGGACCTTCATTCTGGAGAAAGAGATCAGGTGTTTTTTTCCACCCTTTCTGGATGGATTTTAAGGCCAGGCAAGACCAGGTACAGGGGCGTGGGATGGGGTTGTTCTGTGAATTAAAGAGATTCTCAGTGGATGGGACTACATGATTTGAACAGAACCTACACCTGGCCAAGGCAGCAGGAGACTTGTGCTAACCCTGGCCAGGCTCATTGCTCAGTGGGCTGAATTTTGGAGATTCTTTAAGCAGTCCACAGTCACGACATGGAGCCTTCACCAAATGGGGCCAGCACTCACATGAAGAAGATGAGGCAGGTGCAGACAGCAAGCAAGGCCATGAGACCAGCCCCTGCCATGGCCCCTTGGACCACTCCTGTACTGGTTTCGGGTTTGTCTGTTAACAAGAAGACCTGGGGTGATGGAAAATCTTCCTCTCAAGTCGTCATCTTAGCATTATCCAACCTGCTTTAGTCCATTGTTGATGAGAGTGCCCACTCCCACTCTGGTCTAGGTCCTTTCTTCCCCATGGTGTTATGTGACTACAGCCTCCTGTCCCCAAACCTCCTACCAACCCAACTGATAGGAAACTATGAACACTAGCCCAAGTTTAGCCCTAATTTGTCCACTCCCAGTGTCTTGTACAATCCAGACAGAAGTCACCCACCCCCATACCCCCACACCTCCCTACACCTCCCCACACCCCTACACACCCCCAACATTACCCTTTGTGACCTCTTGACCTTGCAGCAGCAAGATAGTAGCACTCTGAACTCCATTGTCATTCCAAGCCTCACAGCTGAGCCTGAGGCCAGCACTGAACTCCATGCTGAGGCTCAAGTGGCTGTTGACCCAAGATCCTGTGGAGCTGGAGGTGACCGTGAAGGAGACGTTGCTGCTATTTCCCTCCAGCAGCCCCTCCCCCAGCCGCCAGCGCAGGGAGGGGGCAGGCCAGGCTCTGGAGGAGCAGTTGCAGTGCAGACCCTCAGCCTCCCAGGAGCAGGAGGGTGCCCGGAGCTGTAAAAGGCCTGGGGAGTGAAACACAAAAGGAGGTAGCAGAGGGGCCTCCCAGGTTGTGATCACAGTGCCCCACCCCCATCACCTTCCAGCTCACTCTTTACTCTGAGGCTCACAGAGGCCACATGAGCACCCAGATTGTTCTCAGCTCGGCAGGTATATTCTCCATGGTCTTCCAATTCCACCCTCTGCAGCTGTAGTTCCTCAGTGGAGAGCTGGAGGGGCTTCTGGGTCAGGTGCTTCCAGCTCAGCATGGCTGGGGGGTTGCTGTCGGCCTCACAGAGGAGGCGCAAGGACTCGCCCTCTTGGACATGCAGAGATGAGCCACTGTGCAGGACTTCGGGTTCTGAAGAGGCAGAGAGAAGGCGAGATCACAGAGGGCTTTCTGTATTTCTCTTGCTTTTACCACATCACCTGTCTTTTTCTCTTCTGCTGGCTGCTGGCCTCATACTATAGAGTGACAGACAGTATGTCTTAGATGTATGAGATCATCAGAACCACTTTGGGTCTCACTCTTCCCGCCTGGGCATCTGTCAACTTGGATTTCTTGCTTGTCCTGGAGAGTTTGCCCTTCTGTCTCTCAAGAGCATCTCACTAAGGCCTGCCTACCTGGGCTATGTCCCCAGGGCAGGTGTCTAAAGCAGGTGGCACAGGGCAGTGGTGGGTTTTATGGTGGCTGTGTCTTAAAAGCCCAGCGAGATTCTCAGGACCAGGAGGAAGGCTGAAGGAGGATGTGAAGAATAGTGGAGATGTCTGGGGACCATACTACAGTGTTCTGCCCACAGAGAGACAAAATCGCCCTATGCTAGCTGAAGGACCCTGAAAAGTTTCTTCATTTGGCAAACAACTGCCTCCTTAACAGAATGCTCTCTTCAGATGATTTTGGAAATTATTGCAAACCAATACATACAACTTATTGTTACTTTTTTTTTTTAATGAGAGAAGGTCTCCTATACCTCAAGCAACTTCAAACTTACTATAGAGATGAGGGTGACTTTGAATTTCTGAGCCTCCTGTTTCCACCTCTCAAGTGGTGGGGTTACAGGAGTGCAGTTATCACGCTTCATTATGCAATGCTGGGGATTCCACCCAAGGCTTCCTGCATGCTAGGATGGCACTTTCCCAACAGAGCCACATCCGCAGCCCATAAATAATACTTAAACAACATAGAAGAGACTTGGTTTCTTTGGAGAATAATGTGAATGAAAACTACAATGATTTCATTTGTGCCATGGGAGAGGGTGGGTGTATTTGTTAAGGAGAGAAGGACATTGTTCCTAGGTATACACATAAGACAAAGTTCACGCTGTGCAATTTGGCAGCATATGTGTGAAATACAAATGACCCTTTGTTCTGGAATTTTCTTCCTTAGGAAATAATTTTGTAGACATTGAAAGGCATGCCCCTGTTACCTGGTGGAACAGGCAATACCCTGGTCAGCCCAAGGTTCCATGGGAACTAAGTCTGCACGCAGGTGCAGAGGACCCCTTTAAAAGATAGGCCCCTGCCCATTTACGCTCTCTGTTCCTGCTCTCTGTGCTCTCTGTTCCCCTGCTCTACTCTGTCCCCCACCTATGCTCTCACTCTGTCTCTCTATGGCGACTGTCCGTGGCGGTCAGCCATTTACCCTGTTCCTCTTCTTAGTCTCCCCATTCTGCTGGGCCTTATAATAAACTTATAGTCTTATGTCTCATGTCTCAGCATTTCTCTTTTCTTCTTTTTAAACAAAAGAATAACAGACATGGTCACAAATGTAGAGTTTTCATGGAAGTCACTTATTGAATAAAAGTCAAGGAATAGCAAGGTGTTTTTGTTTTGTTTTGTTTTTGCCAAGAGATAAAAGGGTAAATGTATTATTGTATCATGAGAAAACCATGGAGTTAGTAGTATGTATGAAGAAGGAAGTCTCCAAGAAAAGTAAGTTTGAGGGGAAAAATTAATCTAGTCATGTATGGTGGCAGTGTGGGTTTGACCACAAAGGAACCATAAGGATAAGTTAGAATTAAGTCTGTATGAAGAAGCAAGGGAGACTTTACCCTCAAGCACCTAGGGCAGGTTTTATTTAATGTCAGAGGGCATCTCCAGGTTGGGTTACACGTGATCAAGAAACAGGACTCAGCAACACAATGATCAGAGTTCAAGAAGATGCAGATTATATGTTTCAAACTGGGGCTGCTGGTGGTTAAGGACAGAAAATAGGAAGAAAGAGGTGTTAAGAGCAGAATGAGGAAGTTAGCTGCTTCCTGTAAACAAGCTGTTTTAGAAACTGCTGGATCTGTTGTCTGGTTTTGTAAACACTGAGTGTCTGGAGTCAGGATCAGCTGCTTTGCTTTGGCAATCCCCAAAGAGCAGGCTTCCTGAAACCTTAAATTCAGTTTAGGGCCTTAGCTTTTGGGGGAGGGGTTAGTTTTTTTTTTTTTGGAAACTCATTGACCAAGGGTCTAAGGTGTAGCTCAGTGGTATAGTTCCGTCCTACATAAGTAAGTAAGTAAGTAAGAAAGAAAGACATAAAAGTGATAAAGTTGCAAAGTAGTGTGTGAAGAAGGTATGTGTTTCTCCTCCCACCCCAGTGTGTGATTGTGTGTGTGTGATTGTGTGTGTGTGATTGTGTGTGTGTGTGTGTGTGTGTGTGTGTGTGTGTGTTTATATATGCACACTAAGCTATCTGTGTGTGGTCAATCAAGACAGGAGAACATTAGACACCAAGAACTATTACTATTAATTTTTTGTATGAACAGAATTATATTGCACTAAAATCCATATATTGGAGCCCCAACCACCAATGTAGTGGAGATGTCTTGGGAGGTAATTAAGGTAGATGAGATCAGAGGATAGAGATACCAAAGGTGGGATTAATGGAGCTAGAAGAAGGCAGCAGCGTGCTGTGTAGTCTGTTTCTACCATCTGAAGCTGGGGGTGGAGAGGAGAGCATCTGTAGCACAGACAGGGTACCCTCACCAGGAATCAAATGGGCCAACACCTGGAACTGGGGCTCCTGTCCTTCAGAGTTAAGGGGCTTGTTCTGCTGTGTAAGTCTTCCTCTCTATCATACTACAGAGGCTGAGGCAGAATTAGATACTTCTCACACTAAATTTGATAAAATCACCCCACAGATAGAAAGGGATCTGGGAAACAGGCCAGACTCAGGTGCTTAAGGAAGGAGGGCAGCCCGGGGACGAAGACACAAAGACCCAGTCCTGGCACTGGAGACTGCCATCTATGACTTGAGAAAGCAGAATCATGGGCATCTAGAGGACAGTGCAGTGTGTGGGTGAGGGGTGAGTGGGGATGCCTTACCCCCTTCCCAATCCTGAATCCTGCCTGAGCTCCTGAACATTGGCTTATCTCTGAGGGCAGCAGTCCCAGCACCTACCCCAGGGAAGAGAGATTTCACCCTACCTGTGTCATCTCCCCAGGACGCCCTGATGGTCACCTTCTGTGGAGCATCTGGGCAGACAGACATAGTCATTCAATTTTCAGAGGGGGGTGGCTGCTGGTATTTCACCCCAGAGCTCCTTTCTTCTCCCACACTCCTGGCTTTCAGGACCCATCAGCCAGTTCTACCTCCTCCTTCCCACACCCCTAATGTCCCTTCCCCAGGGACCCAGGTTTCCTGGACTGGCACTCACAGGTGACACTGAGCTGTTCAGTCCTCTCCACAGTAACACCAACACCAGGGAAGGTCACCTGACAGGTGATGTTGGTGCCATGGTCCTGGGGCCTGGGTGTTAGGTTCAGCTCTGAGGAGAGGATGGTCCTGGGACCCAGGGAGGTAAGGGCAGATGACATCCAGGAGAAGATGGGGGTTGTCCCACACTCACAAGCCCAGGGCACAGAGCAGATCAGTTGGGTGGAAGTGCCAGACACCAGGGTAGGTAAGACTTGGAAGTTAGGAGTTTCACTCAGAGCTGGACAGAGAGAGATAGTGACACAAGACATGGTAGAGAATCATTATGTGTGTGACTCTACTTCAAGACAGCCCCTTCATTTGGTCTAAGGGTGCCCAAAGGCTTTGAAACAAGGACCCCCCCACACACATACCCTCATCACATACCTATCACATCCACAGAGAGCTTCTGGTTCACAAAACTGTACTTCATAGCTCCATGTCCTTCCACCCTGAAGAAATACACTCCAGTGTCTCTTCTCTTCAAATCTCTGATCTCCAGGGAGCAATTATGGGTATTTGGCCCCCCCATGAGATGGAATCGACCTTGAACTTCCTTCTGTACTGATCGATTTGGGTCGTTTGTAGCCACCAGATAGTCGAGGCTTGTAGTGGCCCGATCCTGGTACCAATAGCCAAAGACAGGACTACTGGAAGTGGGGTAATGGACTTGGCAGGACACAAAGATACACAGGCCCTCCTGTACCGTCACTGAATTGGTCACTGAGAGCTCATAGTCCCCATCCTTAGCCAGAGACCCTGCAAAGAAATGAGATAGTTATCTTGGTCCTGTTCCACCAAACCTGTCAGTATCCCTACTCACCTGCCCACAGCAGGGACAGCAGCAGAGGCCAAAGCATGACACAGTGGAAGGTTCTAGGCTCCTCTAGGTGGCCAGAGAACAGAGGCTCGATCAGTTTGAAGGGGGTCTGTGAGGTGGGAGTGGCAAGCTTCGATGCCACAGGCTTCGATGTGGCAAGAGTGGGACGTCCTCCTGAAAGCCCAGGAATGAGGACAGAGAGCTACTGACCACAGAGAAGGAACTCTCCACCCACAGGTTATCAGAACTGTCAAGGTCCTCAGAGAACAAGCACTTCCACTTTTCATGCGGGGTATCATGGGAACCACGGTCTGCGAGGAGGAAGCACCCTGAACCCTGTCAGAGACGTTTGTTTCTCATTAGTCTTTATTAAGAGTCTGATGGTCAGAGACATGGCTCTGCAGGCAAAGGCACTGATGAACTGAGTGTGATCCCTGGGACCCACACTGTGGACAGAATGACCAAACTCAAGGCAGTTGTCCTTTGATCCCCCACTTGCACACATGGTGGCACACTTGTCCCATAGTGGGTATGCACATACACACATAAAATAATAGTTTTCTTAATGTATAAAGAAGAGGAAATTGGGACACTCACTGCCTAAATAACATTCCTGTTACTGTTATAAAATAATCCTGACAAAACAACTTAAAGAAAGAAAGGTTTATTTTGGCTCAGAGTTTGAAGTTACAGCCCATGGTGGTAGGGAAGTTATGATGGCTACAGGTGTGTAGGAAGCAGAGTGAGAGGTGAAAGTATGTTCTCAGCCCACTAGATAGTCTAGAATCCCAGCCTCTGGGATGTTGCCACCCAAAGTGGGTGGGGTTTTTCACTCATTTAACCTAACCGTGATAATCACTCACTGGCATGCTTAGAGACCCACCTCCCAGATGATTCTAAATCTCATCAAGTTTCCAATTGAGGTTAGCCATCTCAGACATAGATACACATAGGGAGTGCATCCACATGAGGACATGGGAGGAGACTCTATCTGCAGGCTCAAGAGAGAGGCCTCAGGAGGAATCTTTCTTGTAAAAAATGCTAATCTAGAACTTCCAGCTTCAATACTGAGAAAAATAAACACGTTGAAGCTGCTCGGTGTGTGGGTATCTGTGTATTGGTCAGGGTTCTCTGGAGGAACTGAACTGGTAGAATATGGGTCTATGTGAGTAGTCCAACACTGGTTGTCTCACTGGTAGTGGCTGTTTCACAAGGCTGGATATCTCAGCAGCTCTGGTCTGGTGCTGAAGGACTGGAGAATTTCTGGAGAACTGCTGGTCCTTAGTCCATACTGAAAGCTTGAAGAAACTAGTTCTAGTATCAGTGAAGGAATGAAACAGCAGCATGATGCTGTTGGGAGGCCTTCTGTTCCACACAGGAGATGGATGAGCCCATTGCCTCACACTGTGGGGTCTCAGTGAATTGATGGGTTCTGAAGACTCTTCCCCTGGTAAGGAGAGTGTACAGATGGCGGGGTATAGATGGTCCTCTTCTGTTTTGTTCTTCAGCCCCAAGTCCTAAACCAACTGACCTTATCAACACACACTGGAGTCCTCTTTGGCTACCTCTTGCATTACATCTAAGGTTTATCATGGTGCTTGGGAAAGGAGGAGGTGAGTCAGTGCCGTCTTCTCTGTACCAGGCTGTCAGTCACTATGTAATGTTATGACCAGTAGGTGGAGAAGTATACCCACTTCTATAACACAGAGATCAATGGTCCCTTCATAAGCAGGGATAGAGTGAGGGCATCAGGTGCTTTTGAAATAACAGCAGATCATTCCATTTGTCTCCTGAGCAGTTACCATGAATGCTGGCATTATGATCCCATCATGGTTAGAGTGGTACCAGAGAATTTGAGACTGATTATTTTAATATTCTTTTTCAGGAGGACTTTACAGGCTCCTATTGTTGTCTACTATACCCAGACACTTGCTTTTAAATAAAAATTATTTTTATTGAAGTGTATCTAGTGGGTGTGCATCAGTTTATGTGTACAACATATATACCTGGTGTTAGATTTTTGCTGCAGCTATTGGTAGGGAGAAAGGAAACTACAAATGAACAACCCACCTGGAGTTTATTGACAAGAGAAGGGGGGGGATGGGGCTGTATTGTCAGCCAACCCAAGAAGAGGTGGGTGGGAGGGAGGGGTAGACCTCCTCCTTTTAAAGGGAAGACCACACATGTGCACTGAGGTTTTACACATGTGCAGAGTCCCCACACAGGCCGTAATTCGTGGCAGGTGACATGGTGATGACATAGCACATTTCCTATGCATGCCCCGCCCATCGTTAGTCACTTGATGTGGGTGTTAGGAACTGCACAAGAGCAGCAAGTGCTCTTAACACTGAACCATTTCTCCAGACCCCAGACACCTGCTTCTGAGCTCATTTCTGAGGAGAACAAAGTAGTAACATGGTCATGGGTATTCCTGGAGGAGGGGTTTGGAAACACATGGGAAGGAAGGGATACCATAGAGTGGACATGGAGACATTGGATGTCTCCATGGACCGAGGATAGGTTCAGTGAGAGTCCATGCCTCAAAAAGATAAGCTGGAGAGTGTTAGAGAAAGGCACTGAATATTGACTTCTGACCTCTATGTGAGTATACATGGGCAATAGCACACACACACACACACACACACACACACACACACAGAGAGAGAGAGAGAGAGAGAGAGAGAGAGAGAGAGAGAGAGGAGAGAGAGAGAGAGGAGAGAGAGACATACACAGAGAGACTGAGACACAGAGAGAAACAGAACAGAGTCACAGAGACAGAAGAGGCAATGTCTCTGTTGATATGCTGTAGTAAATGGAGGAGCACAGTCGAGTTCTACTGTAACGTCAGACACTTTCAGCAGAGTGTGAAATTCACACATGGCAGTGTAACCTGTTGCCTACTGGGATGAGAAGGCTGTAGAAATCATCCTTGGGGACCCATAGAGAACACAGGTACTTCAGATGAGAGGGGTGCTCCGGAATTTTCCTCAGTGTATGCAGATATCTGAATACTGGGGAGAGGGATCTTGCTGAGGCCTCACTCTACAAAAAGTGAGGGAAGCATAACACAGGTCTTGTTCTGTTCATAATGTGAGAGTCTTCTGTGAGAAGCTTGGATTCTCAGGGTGGCTGTGCATCTTGGAGTCCTGCTGAGTCTGTGTGGAGAGGAGAGAAGATAGGGCCATAAGGAGGGATCTCAAGGAGACAAAAAGGATCTGTGCAGAGCATCATTATATTAAGACACTTGCTCACTCTCCTTCCATGAAGGGCTCTGAAGGCATCACTTAATCATGCATCCAACACAGTATTTATTGCTGCTCGTCCAATCAACAAACATACCCAACACCTAGCAGGAAAACCCTATCGTTTTGCCCATTTTACAGACAGGCAAAGTAAGTCCTGGATAGGTGGGGTCTTTACTATGTTAACCATATAGCCAAGACACCATGTGTGCTGGTGCACTGGATCCACAGAGGGGTAGTGATGTAGAGACCAGCCTCAGAAATAGGGGTGCTGGTGCACTGGATCCACAGAGGGGTAGTGATGTAGAGACCAGCCTCATGGCTAGGGTATTAGAGAGATGAAGACAGATCACTAGATCCACCCATGAGTGTCAACTGTGCTGCTCTGTGCATTAGCCAGAGGGAGGCAGAACTGCAGTTTTCCCAGAGCTCATCTTCTCCTTGTGATAGAAATAGCATGGGAGTGCCATGTACAAGGCATGCAAGGCATGAAATGCCCTCACAGACACATGCATGGAGCTTCCTGCAGATGCAACAGTGTTGTTGGACACAGCCAATGATTACAGAGTGTGACCGCTTTCTGCACTGGCACATTTCTGAGCTCCAGTTAACTGCAATGTTTCTCAAAAGCAACCTTGGCACCCATGGTGCCCTCCTCCATGCCTCCAATCATTTCTTCAGCTCTTAGCAATCCCAAGAGATTTCTTCCCCTTGAGACTTCCATACCTGCTGGTGCTAGGGCCAGTTTGATCCACTCCCTTGCATCTTAGTGTCATTCTCACCCCTAGCCTCTGGCACCTGTAAGCATCTGAAACATCCATTCCCCTCCTCCACACCTCATTACCTGTGACCCAAGGACTTGGCTCTGCACCCTCCTCATACATGGCTCTGTTCAGTGGCTTCTCTTCCCAGCCATCTTGCTTCTTCTGCCTCATCTGCCTGACTCTGAATGATGGAGGGTTTAAGGCATTTCCTGTTGGCTTTTGTTTTGTCTACTTGAGGATCTGAAACTGGGGAGTACACAAACTCTGTCCCATGTGGATCCATCTCTTAACTCCAGATTTGGATATCTATTCATCATCTCCACTTGGATGTTTCAGAAGCTCCTCATCCTTGGAGGAACCATAGTGATGGTGACCCACTTGCAAGGCTGGCCATGTCAGCCATTAGCAAACTAAGTTCTTTAAGTTCTTCAGAGAGACAACAGTAGTATCATCCGTGACTTTTATAATCGTGCTGCAATCTATTTACATCTATGGAGTCTTTGATGTCTACAACATCCTGAAGTGGAGACAGTGAGATGTCTTGGTCAATGCATTCAGGCAGGCTGCTCCTTGTTGGTGTTTTCATCAATATTTATTCAACTCCCACACATATCCATCAGTGGGACCCTTGACTATGTTGGCTTTAGAGACAAGATCTCATTACATAGACCCACCCAGATGGCCTAGAAGCTACAGGCCTCTTGCCTGACCTCAGGAGTATTAACTGCACAGTATATTAGAAGCAGCATGGAAACCTCTGGAGCACTTTACAGAGGAAGAAGTGGCAGAGTGAAAGGGTGCAGAGGTGCTGGGTCCTACCGGGTTACAGGCATAAGTGCCATCAGTGTGATGGAGACCCGGTCTGATTGATGATCTTGGTTGTCATCTGGAAATAGAGAACCTCAGTTGAGGATTGCCTCCATCAGATTGGCCAGTGGGTATTTGTGTGGGAGTTACAAGGTGAAATAAACTTTTTCCTCCTCAAGTTGCTTTTGGTCAGAGTGTTTTTTAACACAGCAACAGATAATGTAACA